GTATTTTGGCACATTTCGAGACAAAAGTGAGTTTTGAGTGGGTAGCCTAGTAAAGCTGCCGTCTGGCCGGGTTAACAGTGGTTATTGTGTGGTTAGTTCTTCACTAGTTTATAATGAAGTGCTGTGACTTTGTGATGAGTCTGGCTGCTGCCGAGCACAGAATCAGCATCAGTTTGTGCAGCTTTTGTGTGCTGCATGTTTTAGGTTTCCATCTCTAACAAGAGAGCAATAGCGGCTTGCTTCATTTTTAAACGATGCGGTTTGACGTATTTCATGTAATAAGCCAGGATTAACAATAGCAGTTTATAATAGAGAATATAAAGGCTGCTGCTGTAACAATAGCACTTTATGGGTCTCCTCAGGCGTCTGATTTCTTTGTCATTCATCAGAGTACAGCATGAGAGGGCCTGAAATCCAGCCGTGAGAAAGACAAAACCAACTAAATGGATGAATGGCTGTCAAAATCACTGTAGAGCTGGAACATTAAACAAATTAATTTTAAAATAAAAATAGACATGCATACCGGCGCATTTTCAAGTGGGACAAGATCAAAACGCTAAAAAGCGCAGTGTTGCCAACTAATTTTTAGGGGAAGTTGCTAAATGAAGGTCAATTTGTTGCTAAAAGTTGCTAAATCACATTGTGACGTCATTGCGTGATGATGTCATTACGTAATCACGACGCAAAATTGTGTCACTACATCAGATCTCAGCAAAAAAAAAATATTTTATATATGTTAATTTAGATTTGTTTGTAAAATCATATAAATGCATAATATAATATTAAAACATAAATAAATATTTAAAATACACCATTGAATTATTGAAAACGTTCACATTTTTTAACGATTGCAATTTAAGTTTTTGTTTTTATTAGCTAGTAAACTAGAAAAACTACACATTCTGAACAATTATACTTTTAAGCAGTGTAGTAGCAGTAGTCTAAGAAAAGTCTGTAAAAATAGGGCACAATCTACAATGTTAATATGAAGGAATTTTGGTATTGATATATATTTGGTATAAAGGTATTGATTTTTCACCGTTTTTTTTTTTTTACCTGCATTTTAAATTACGCATTGTATTTTGTGTTACAACGGATAATGTCCTGGGATTGTGAATTACTATACCTTTTCCATTTGTACATATTTTTCTTACAGTGTACTAACTGATCAACCAACGCAGGTACAAGCTACTACCATTGTGTATCATAAATGAACAATTATTCAATTAAATTGAACAGTTGCAAATAGCAATTAGAATTTAATTCATGTGATGTGTGTACTTCTAGGCATCTTTGGTTTCCTCTTTTTGTGTAATTTAGATGTAAAACGTGTGCTTTTTATCATTTGAGTCACTTAACCCAAGTTGCTAAAAGTTGACAAATTCATTTTTAAAATAGCTACATTTGTTGCTAGGTGCTTTTGGAAGAGAAAGTTGCTATGGTAGTGTGAAAAGTTGCTAAATTTAGCAACAAAAGTGCTAAATTGGCAACACTGAAAAAGCGCCATCCGGTGGACAAATCAGACATGCGCGTCCAAACTTTAGTGATGAAACGTGTCCATGATGTTTAATCATTTCATTCTAAATATCGCCACTTAGTGGACAAATCAGGCAAAGAACACTATGTACCAGCAAATAATAATAATAATAATAAAAAGTATCTCGACTGAATTTTATTAACGAATTATGTTATTAATTTATTATCTAAAGATTTATGCTTAAATTCTTGTAGGCACATATAAAAATAAGTATTTTTCAAAACGTTTTTAAATTTATTATTTGGAATGCCTAGTAAAGGAAAATCTGCCAACAAATATCCATCATACATTTTCATCCTTCAGTAGGAAAAATAATACAAATCTGAAACATTAAAATGCATGTCAATTCTATCTATCTATCTATCTATCTATCTATCTATCTATCTATCTATCTATCTATCTATCTATCCGTCCATC